TCGGGAGATGGACACAGAAGACACAGGCACAGGCCGTGAGCGGGGTGCCGGCCCCAAGGGGCCGAAGGGGGCTGGCCGAGCCCATCAGCCCGGCCGTCCCCACTCCCCACCAAGCCCGCCCCCCTGCCAAAGGCCACCCCAGGGAGTTTCTTACCAGCGGACCACGGTCCCCGGGGAATCCTGGGGGCCCAGGAGGCCCTGAGGGACCAGACACCCCCTGTTGGAGGCAGAGAAGCAAAGGTTGGAGCCAGGCTGACTCGCACCCACCTGGGAGCCCCCCCTGTACACGGACCCCATCGCCCCAACTGTGCGCCCCAACATTCATCAGGACTCAACCTGCAGTGGCACAGCTTCCCACGGGACCGGGGAACATCACGGCCCAGCCCCCCACCCCAGGGCCTCGCTCAAACACACCCCAGCCAGAAAAGAAAGGTAAGAAGAGGGGACCGACGCAGGGCGTGGTGGCGCACACCCGCCATCCCAGCACTCAGGAGGCTGAGGCAGGAGGATCCCTGCAAGTTCAAGGCCAGCTGGGCTACCGACTGAGACCCGGTCTCCAAAAACAAAAAAGAAGACCGACCTGAGGCTAATACTCACTTGGGGTCCCCGGGCTCCTGGAGGTCCCTCAAACTTCCGCCCCTGGTGGGAGACAGAAGTGTGACCCCTGCTCTAGAGAGGCCTCAGCCCCTCGAAGCCGCAGCACCTCACCTGTTCAACGACTGCAGGTTCGCCCTTCGCGCCCTTCTCTCCAGCGCCCTGGGGGAGGAAGGTGGAGGAGGAGATGCGACCAGGTTCCCAGCCCCCAGCGCGGGCGCACACGGGTGCGCCTGCGCTGTGCCCCTTCCTGTCCTCCTTTCGGCCGGGGAGCATGGGAAACTCAGTCTCCAGCATCCCCTGACCCAACACCGGCACGGCAAGGTGAAGACCACAGCCTCCCAAGGGCCTTAGTGAGGGTGTTGGAAATTTACTCAACCCCCAGGGCTGGTTACAGGGAACTGGCCACCCGGACAGTCGCCGGGGGACCCGTGGGTGTCCAGATCCCACAGGAAGAGCAGGGAGTTAAAGCAGAGCTTGGCAAGCCTGGCGTGGTGGCGCACCCCTGTCATCCCAACACTCGGGAGGCTGAGGCAGGAGGATTGCTCAATGTGAATCCAAGGTCAGCCTGAACTACACAGCGAGACCTTGTCTCCAAAAAACAAAAATTGAAACAAAACAAAGAGCTTGGTGCAGAATAAGCACCCAGAGTTAGTTATAATTCTTTACCTCCTCCTCTGCCCAATACTGAGGCTGGGATCCAAGCACTCCCTTCTCTGCCTTTTTTTTTTTTTCCCCAGTACTGGGGCTTGAACTCAAGGCCTCACACTGAACTACACCCCCATTTCTTATTTTGAGACGAAGTATCGGCCAGGGATATAGTGGCACAAGCTCCTGCCTGGCAAGCACAAGGTCCTGAGCTGGATTCCGGGTACAAAAAAAAAAAAAAAAAGAATGATCGCTAAGTCACTAAGTTGCCCTCCTGCCTCAGCCTCCCAGAGTGCTGGGATGACACATTGGTCGCCACACCTGCCTTGCGTTCTTTTTCTAAGTACAGAGACCAGCTCCCTGCTGCAGAGTCCCGAGCCTGCCTGAGCTCCAGAATTGCCCCCCTCATCACCGGTGGGCATCCATTTGCATGTCAAACAGGGCTGCAAATTCCAGACATCACAACCGCTGTCCTTGACCGTGCTTGGTGACCTCTGAAGTCTGGAGGACCATCCATACTCCATGGACCCACCATGCACCAACCTTTCTCCAGCTCCAGCAGCAAAAAAAAAAAAAAAACTGGGAGTCCCAGACCTGTGCCGGGGCCCCCTCCCCTCTCCTGCCTACACGCCAGGCTTCCCTGAGGCCTCTCTTGCTCCCCCTACTGTCCGTAGTGGGAGTTCCGGGGCCGAGAAAGTTCCAACTCAGAGCGGCTTCTCAGCCAGCCTACACTGAAAGCCAAACGATCATCACGGATCATCACCGCCCACACAGCCGCCGGCCAGCACCCGCTAAATATCTGTCAACTGCCCTGGCTTGAGGCAAGATCAACAGAGTCCAGAGAGAGAATGTCAAGCCAGGCACAGCGGGGCTCGCCTGTCCTCCCATTACTCAGAGAGGCTGAGGCAGGAGGATCGCGAGTGCAAGCCCAGCCTGGGCAGCTTAGCCACTTGGAGAGACCCTGTCCCAAAATAAAGGATAAACAAGAGCCGGGGCTGTCCCTGCCCTGCACCAACTCCGGCCCCCCGGACTCACGGGGAAGATCTGGAACTCAGTCTGAAACGGCTGTTCTGCTGCCCGGAACCTGGGGTCCATAGTGGAGCCCCCTCCTCCTTCCTCCTCTCCGGCTGCCCCCACGTCTGGGAGTCCCAGCTGGGTTCCACCTCGAGGGTCCAGGTCCCCCTGAGACATCGAGACAGAGTCTGTCCTTCTCGTCCCGACTCAGCGCCACCCGCCCCAGCCCCCCTCCCAGCTCCCGCCGCCTGCCCGACCTCCAGGATGGCGCTGTGGCGGCCCAGGGTCGCAGCGGAGGGCACCGCGGGGGCGGGGGCGGCAGGCTGGTTTGGAACCGGGGACTCGGGCTGGGGGGCGTCGGTGGCGGCCTGAGCGGGCGTGGAGGGAGAATCGGGTCTGGGTCAGGCGGATGGGGCAAGAGGGAGGCACGCAGGAGCCCGGCGCCGGGCTGGGGAGCGGCGAGGAGCCCGCACACGTGGAGGCCGCTGGGGCTAAGCGCGGCGGGACCCAGGCTGGCCGGCAGGGGGCGCTGTTCCGCACGGAGGAGGAGCGGGGCCGGGCCGGGCCGCCAGGCTGAGCCAGGCTGGCTACCGAACCCAGCAAGGTCAAGGTCAAGATCCAGCACTCGGGGCCAGACTCCCGGAAGCCTATCCCACGGGCCTCTCCCCAGGCAGCGCTCAGCGGCCAGCAGGCCAAGCCGCAAACAGGCAGCTCCTCCGGCCTAGACAGCTGCGAAGGAACTGGGTCAGGGCGCGGAGGAAGGGGCAGCGGGGCCGCGCTGCTCCTGGCACCCAGCTTTCAGGCCCGAAAGGCAGAAAGGAACTGAGCCCGAGTGCGCCCAGCAACCCGTCGGAACCAGGGCCCCCAAGCCACCCCCATCCAGGGGCCGCCGGCTAATGACTCCTCAGCAAAAGACCCCGACGGTTCCTCCCACGGGGGCCCGGGGGTGATGCACCCACTGACGCTTCCATCGATGGCCTCAACGAGATATCCCTCCTCCCAGCGACCTTCCCAGTGACTGCCCCAAACTGTGACGCCTCCAACAGGACTCATTCATTGGTGACTAAGGAGGACCAGGAAGTCCCTAATCAATCAACTTCTCCTCCAATCGGTGACCTTCCCACAAGGAGTGTCGGTAGGAGCCCACCCAGTGCTCCCAACCCAGGACCCCCGGGCAGTAATCCCACTAACCAGCAACTGGGCTCCTCACTACCAACCCTTGGAGACCCCCAAACTAACAGCCTTGCTCGTGATCCCCTGAAAATCACTCCTCCAACTGGTGACCCCAGCCGGACGAGGTGGCGCACGCCTGTAATCCCAGCACTTGGGAGGCTGAGGCAGGAGGATCATTGTGAGTTCGAGACCAGCCTGGGCTACAAAGTGAGCTCAAGGCCAGCCTGAACTGCACAGTGAGACCTTGTCTCAAAAAAGACAAAAAAAACCACAAAAAACTGGTGACCCCAGTGATCGCGTTGTGCATTGTAGTGGTCTTCCCCAGGTATGACCTATAACCATTAGCCCTAAACTAGGGACAGCAAAAGTATCTCTACCAATGACTCCCATAGAGTGACTCCCATAGAGACACCCAAAATATTGACCTCAATTAACATCTCCCTCAGAGACTCCCCCCAAGCAGCAGTCCCCACCACGGAGGCCCAACAGCGTCCCCAGTTTAAACCTCATGAAAGCCCCATCAGTGAACCCCAAACAATGACACACTAACCTGTGAAGCTATAACATTGGCCTTCACCCGTGCCCCCAAAGAGTAGCCCTCATCACGAACCCATAATAGTCAGGGGCTGACCTGGGGGTGGCTTCTCTTTCTAGGCCCCCAGGACCAGAAGTTAGGGGCACAGGCATGGAGCCTCTCAGAAGACAAAACCAGCCCCCCACCCGCCAGCCTGACGGACTCGGGGCTCAGGGGCTGAGAACAGAGACCGCGGGGGGGAGGGGGGGCGGGCAGAGAGCTCCGCAGTGAGGAGCAGGAGCGAGAGGTGGCCGGGCCTTACCTGGCGCTCCGGGGACGCGGGAGCGGGGCTGGGGGTCAGGCTCCCCCGGTTCCTGTTCTTCCTGCCCTTCCCCTTGCGACCCTGCCCTTTTTTCTTCCCTTTCCCCTTGCCCTTGCGTCGAGGAGGAGAACTCTCTGGGTTGCCCTGCGGGGGCTGGGAAGAGGGAGCCGGTCAGGCCTAGGGCGCCCCCAGCCCTGGCCGGGCTGCGCAGGACGGAGGTCGTCACTCACCCCGGTGGTCGTGGGACCCTGGCTGTCACAGCCGGGCAGGTACTGGTCGCAGGCCCGGAAAGCAGCCTGGGAGTCTGGGCTTAGCAGCAGCTCCTGGATGTCTCCCTGGAGAGAGGCGGCGGGGAGGGTCCCCAGGCTGAGGGTGGGCCCCGGCCCCTCCTGCAGGGGCCCCGCCAGCTCCTGGCAGGCAGCCTCGGTTTCTCCCCACCCAGAGCGACCGTACACGACACCCCACGCCCGCCCCGTCCCTTCGAGCCCGAGCCGAGTGTCCTTCCACGTGTGGGGCCTCAGGAGGGGGACAGGAGAGCCAGGGCCCTGGTCCCGCGGAGGGGACACCCTCACTGTCGCCCACGGCACGGTCACAGAGGAGAGTCACCGCACCACACACGGATACGTCGCTCGGGCACACAGCGCTGCCTTTGTGAACTTCAGCACGCAACCACCCCGCACGCACTCACACCCACCAGCACACCCACAGCCGCACACTCCCACGGCAGGCCTGGTGCGACCGGCCGGACCGCGCCACCGGGGTCATCCTGGCTCTGCGGCCCGGGCAGCACGGGCGGCAGGGCAAACAGCCACAGCGCTGCCCGGTCAGCTGCGGGCACAGCGGCCCGCCCTCGGCCTCAGTGCCCCCATCCCTCCTACCTCAAAAGCCTCCTCCTCCGTATCCCGGGTCCCCAGCACAGTGAGGCCGGCGGCGCTGAGGGATCGGGGTCCCGGGCTGGACACGGGAGGCTGAGGCTCACAGTCAGCCACCAGCGTCACCACGTCACCGTCGACACTGACCGCCAGGCGATGCCACCTGCCAAGAGACGGCCGCAGTGTGTGTACTTCTAGGTCGCCCCCTCAGGGGACCACGTCCACCGCTCTTGCGCTACTCACCTGCCGTCCGCGAGGCTGGGCTGCTGGGGGAGGGGGCTGAAGGTGCCACCCAGGAGACCCGGGGCCGGGCCCAGCACCAGCCCCAGCTGCCGGGCGCCGCGCTCGTCGTAGACAGACAGGAGGACAGACCGGTTGGCCGGCTGGGCCCGCAGCGTGGCCAACACGGAGAAGTTCACAGGAAAGCGCCCATCTGGGTGGAGAGAGCGGCCAGCTCAGGTGGCCCCGGAGGGACCCGCACACCCTGCACGGGGACGCCCACCCCTGCTACCCACTCACCTGGAAAGAGCTCCCGCGTGGGGACACTGGGCAAGCTGGCCTTGCCCACTCTGAATGCCCGGTCACCCTCAGGAGCCCGCTGGGGGCACAAGCCAGGCCCCTCAGGGGCCCCCGCCTGGCCCCCACGCAGGCCCAGGGCCTGAAGGACATCCACGGGGTCCCCTGCAGAGAGAGGCCGGATGGGGAGGAAGGTGATGAGAAGCCAGGCGGTGGCCTGGGATGGGGGGGCTCGGTCCCCCCCCCAGTGTGTGTATGGCTCAGGAAGGGGGAACAGGCCCGGGACAGGCGCCCCCCCCCCGCCTCGCATCCCCCCACCCCGCCCCACAGATGTCCGGCCACTTAGTCTGCTGGCTCCCGCTGGGTTTCAACCCCCACCCCCTTGGTTTTTGGTGAAAAAAAAAAAATCTGACCTAGTTCTGGGATGAATCAGTGCTTCCTGGCCGGAGCCCCAGAGCCGAACTGTCCCTTCTCCCCAACTCCTCCGCAAGGGCTCCCCAGGGCCCCCTCCCTGGCCCGAGCCCCTTCCAGGGAAAACCCGCGTGGAAAGGGGGGCCCTGTGCGCTGCTCCCCCGAATCCTCCTCTGACCTCCGTTTCTGTGACCCTCTCCCTCTGGCTGCCCTGCCTCCAGCGGCTCTTTCTCCCCAGCTTTTAATTTTTTTACTCCATGCAGCAGCATGTAAGGCCTGCATTCCTCACGGGGAGCCGGTCCGTGCTCCCCACACGTCTCAGTTCTTCTCTCACCCGCTTCTCCTCCCTCCCTCCACCCACGGGCCCCCTGTCTTTTTGCACAAGCTCTGTCTCCCTACGTCCTCTTATCTATCTTTTCTTTTGCTCTTGATTTATAACTTGGGTTTCTTGCATAAGAGAAGACGGGTGAAATTTAAGCTCCTGCGTCCGATTCACCTCAAACACTGATCTCAAGGTGCATCCATCTTCCTACAAATGACTCAAGTCTGTCCTTCTTTGTGGCAGAGTAGTACTCCAGTGTATGCAAATACCACGCTTTGTTTATCCATCCACCTGCTGGTGGACTTCGTCCCTTGACCACAACCCACGACCTCTTCCTTTTGACTGTTGACACCTCGGGGCTCCCCCCTCTGACTACTCCTTTCTCCTCCTCAAGGCCCCCAACCTCCTGTCTTTCCCAGGCTTCCCCATCTGACCCGTGAGCTCCTCGTGCTCTCTCCCCGGCCTCCTTCAGCACTCCCTGGCCTCCCCCTCTGACACGCCCCTCTCTCCCCTTTCAGTGGACGAGGACCCAACCTGGCCCAACCCAGGCCTAACGCAGGCCCTTGTCCCCGCCCCACCCCAGGCAGCCCGGCCGCTGAGTGGAACCACATGGCCAGGCAGGGTTCCCCTCCCCCACCCCGCCAGCCGCCCCACTGACCCCCTGACCAGCCTCTCAGCAAGAGCCAGCCTCCCCCAATCCACCGTGACCTCACCCCGGGGAACCCGGGGGGTGCTGGACTTGGGGGGTGGCAGCTTGGATGAAGCCCCTCTCCTCGGCGAAGAAGCTCCTGAAACACCAAGAGCCTCCTTCCTCTCTTTCTGTCTTCACTATTTGATGTCCCCATCCAACTCTCCGTCGATCAATCACTCCAGCAATCAATCGATCGCACTGGCTGCCTGTCACCGGGTATTGGGGTGTTCCTTCCATCCCTGTCTCTCTCGCACATCTGTGTGTGGCTCTCCCTCTCTTCCTCCCTCTGACTCGCTCTCCCAGGCCCATCTCTAATTGCCCGTTCTGGGTCTGTGTCTCTGGAGTCATTAAGAGTATTTGGGTTACAACCCCCTGGGGCCAAGATCCAGGCTCCCAGGCCCCGCTGACCACAAGGCCACTCCCTGTGGAACACTCGTCCCAGCTGTCCCCTCCGGGCCGGGTCCCGGGAGTGGACTGACATCCACAGCGCGACCGGCACCGAGATGTCCCCCCCCCAAGGACCCAGACCTCAGCCTCCACGCGGGGAGAAGGGGTCTCCCCAGGCAACACACATTCGCGTCCCCGAAGTCCTCGCTGGTGCCCACCCCAGGGGACTCCGGCTTCAGCGTGTGTCCCTTTGCAATGACCTTTCGGAAACTGACTGCCCTTTCTTTCCATGGCTGGCCTGGTGACAAGGACACACACAAGAAGCATTGAGCCCCGGCGGCAGGGAGGGGGTGGGGGTCTGTCGGGGACCCAGCCGCGCTGCCCCTTACACACACGCTCTCTGCTCTGTGCCGCTCAGGGGCCCGGGGACAGCATCACATGTGCAGGGAGACAAGCAGGGCTACGATGGGACCCCTCAGGTGTCGGGGAGGGCGTAGGCATGAGTGTGTGGGAGTGTGTGTGCGTGAGACAGACCCTGTGAGCGTGGGGGGCTGAGTGGGCCAGAGAATGGCTGTGCAAGTCATTTCTGTTTTTGTTTTTTGTTTTTGCTTTTCTGGTTTTTTCGGGGGGTTGGTTGGTTGGTTGATTGATTGGCCTTTTTGACGCAGGGTCTCGCTGTATAGTCCAGGTTGGCCTTGAACTCACTATGTAGCCCAGGCTGGCCTCGAATTCATCCTGATCTTTCTGCCTCAGCCTCCTGAGTGCTGGGATTACAGGTGTGCACCGCTATGGCTGGCTGCTTTCCTGGAGCTTTTTGGTTTTTTGGTTGTTGTTTTTAAGAAAGGGTCTCACAGTGTAAGTTCAGTCTGGATTTGAACTCACTAAGTAGCCCAGACTAGACTCAAATTCACAGCGATCCTCCTGCCTCAGCCTCTAGACAGGCATATCATTTTTTGAGATGTAAATATGTGCAAATATCTGTCTGTGGCGGCAGGATTAGGTGCTCTCGTGTGCCCCTTCCTGTGTGTCCAGCCTGGAGCTGATCATCCCGTAGGTCATACAAGTTACTCAGGGGCTGTGAAAGCTCAGACATGTAACCGGGAGTGTGGTTCTCCACACGGAAACTTCTACCACACAGCTGCTGGGACAGCGTGACCGCGTCAGCCCTCGGGCAACTGGCCGTGTTGACCACACTGGTGCGATGCCAGGGGAAGCGTGTGTGAGACCCTGAGAGCGTAGGAGGGTGACAGCAGCGATGACCGGTGCCGCGGTGGCTGCCCAGGCTGCCTGGGCGCGGCCCGGTGTTTCGCATTCCCGGTGTCCCCGGGGGCTGCTATTCTGAGGCTGTAGGGTCATGAGTGTGGGAACGGGGCAAGGGCCAATCCGGGATGACCCACGTGGCCCAGCTGGGGTTCCCAAGGTCAGAGACGCTCTGATCCCTTCCCACTGCAGGATCCACAGCATCCCCGCAACCTCTGGGGCGCCCCCCACCCCGAACCCTATGGGGCGCGGCCAGGCGCCGGGCCAGATGCGCGCAGCTGGGCATGCGTCAGCGCTGAGTCACCCGTCCCGCGGCCCCCGGGACCCCTGGGGGGCCCCTGAGAAATTCCTCGGGAAAAACACCCCAGGCTCGCGCAGCTGGGGAGGGGAGCAGCTTCCACGCACCCCGCCGCCCCCGCCCCGCTCCGCCCCGCCGAGCCCTCCCGAGGCGCTGTCCGTGGTGCTGATCGGCTCTGGGGAGCGAGGGAGGGGCGGGGCGCGGGGGGAGGGGAGCAGGGGGGGAGGGGCGAAGCGATTGAAGGGGACGCAAAGGAAGCTGTGGTCCCCCTGTTATCTCCCACACTCGCCCCTGATCAACAGCAACCTTAGAATCAGTCGCTCATATCTTCCTGGGGGCCATCTACACCCCAAAATCACTACAGTCCTCACAAGGGCACCCAGAAATACACACAATGCGTCTTTCTTCGTTTGTTGAGACAGCGTCTCACTATGTAGTTCAAGCTGACTTTGAACTCACTATGTATCCCTGGTTGGCCTTGATCTCATGGTGAGCCTCCTGCCTCAGCCTCCTGAGGGCTGGGGTGACAGGCATGTGACCTGACACCTAGCTACAATCACATCTGTAATTCATACACACACGCACACGCACACATGCAAATGCACAAGAGTTCATTCTCAAAATTACCCCTGGGGCTGGGGGTATAGCTCAGTGATACAGCAGCTTATTTAGCATGGTAAGGTTCTGGGTTCAAATCCCAACACTGCAAAAAATAAATACAATTTCAATGAATTGCACACAATTTCAATGAGGCTCATGAGGCCTAAGGAGGCCAGTTGGAAGTTCGTTCCTTCTGTTTGGCTTTGTTTTTGTTTTTGTTTTTTGTTGTACCAGGGATCGAACTCTCAACCTTGCGCTTGCTAAGGAGGCACTTATGCCGCTGAGCTATATCCCCAGCCCTCTGGCTTTGGTATTTTGAGAATGGGTCTTGCTGTGTAGCCCAGGCCCGCCTGGAACTTACATCGATCCTCCTGCCTCAGCCTCTTGAGTGCTGGGATGACAGGCGTGAGCCACCAAACCGGGCTTGGAATTTCATTTTGTAAAAGCTCAGCCCCAGACACACGGTGCACACATCTCACAAGACACCCCTTGCAGGGCCCACGCGTGTCTGCCACCCCCTCCAAGCGCACACAGGATCCGCTCTCGGATGCACACACCCCGTGGACTGCACTCGTCCTCATGCAGGGCCGGGAAGCAGCGGGTTTCCAGGACAGCCCCCCAGCTGTCACACCCACAAACTGGCCGGAGTCAGACAGTCCCCCACAGCACGCGCGCCCCCCAATGCACACACCCTACTCTACCCATCTTTGGGGTCTAGCAGGGTCCTGCACCCCAAGATCTGTACCCTCCCTCCCGGCTCACCGGCCTGCGTCACGGGCAGAAGCTGCAGAGCGGCCAGGAGCAGGCAGAGGCCGGCCCGCGACTGGCGCAGGCCCCGGCGGCTCCCCATCCCGGTGGCGCCGGTCTGCAACACGGACGACCGCACAGGGCGGTTGCGGGGCGCGGCGACTCCCGAGCTCGGCGCAGTTGCTGGCGGCGGCCGGCTGCAGTGGGGATCAGCAGAGACTGACCGAGCCCCCGCCCGGCCGCGCCCTGCGCTGCAGCCCTGGCCAGGCGGGGCCGGGAAGGGGGGCCGCTGACAGCCGGAGCTAGAAGTTGGGAAAGTTGCGCCGCACGCTGATTGGCCGGCGGGGGCGGAGCCTGCCAGGAGCTGGGCAGTTCTCAGCCTACCGCGTCTGAAGAGAGGGATCCCCCATCCCGCACTAGAATCGGGGTCCCAGCCTTACCCCAAGCCCGTTCCTCCTAGCAAGCCCCCTGGGAGGAGCGCTTAGCTTCATTTAAACTTTCAGCCTCCTCTGTGCTTTGCGGCGCAGACCTGTGATCCCAGCACTCTGGAGGCTGAGGCAGGAGGATCGCTGCAAATTTGAGGCCATCCTGGGCTACATAATGAGTTCAAGGCTAGCTTCGACCACATAGCAAGACCCTGTCTCAAGAAAAAATCGAAATCCAAAACATAATAAAACAAAATAAAGAATACCTTCAGCCTACATCCAGGGGTGGGGCTGGGGGCAGGGGCACAGCTTCGTAGGGACACCCTTCCTGCTTCCCAAGAGGGAGGTCCCCAGCCTCACCTCTCAGCCACCTGCTTCGCCCCTGTTCCTTAGCCCAAGTTCTCATCCGGCTTAAAACCTCACCGTAGGTCCCCAAATTGGGTTTCTAGCCTTACCCTACACTTTCATCTCTCTGCCCAAATTGGGGGCCTCATACCACTCCCAACTTCTCAACACACAGCCCAATTTCTTTCCCCATTTGTCTGTTTTTGCTTGAGAGAGGCCCTTGCCCTGTAGTTCAGGCTGGTCCCGAATTCACTGTGTAGTGCAGGATGGCCTTGAACTCGACGCAATCCTCCTGCCTCAGCCTCCCAAGTGCAGGAATTGTAGGTGTGCGCCACCACACCCAGGCTCTTTCCCCCTCCTCGATTTTTAATCCTCATGTAAAGAGTCCCTGCATCGCTAGCCCTTATCTCCCTCACTCTGGGTGCACTCGCCCGAACCCCAAATCTTCACCCCTTCCCATCAAATAGGGGAGAGGTGGAGTCATGCTACTCCTGCGGTGAAGCTGAGGGCCCCCTCATCCCACTGGGAGCCCCCAGGGTGGGGAGGTCCCGGGGTCAGGAACTGCTCCTGTGCCTCTGCACAAGTGCGGACAGGCAGCGCCACGCAGAGACGCGGGCGTGTCCCGGCCCTGAGGAGCCCGACCAGGCCACGCCCTCCTCCCAGCCTCGCTGCACAAAGAGCCCCTGTGTCCCTGGAGAGGTGGGGTGGGGCCTCATCTGGCCTGAGGAAGACAGGGGGGCTCCTGCACTGGTGGGGAGAGTGGCCCAACCTCCTTTCCCGGGGACACTGGAGCCCAGGCTTCTCCAGCCAAGACTCTTGAAGCTCTTGCCTGTTTGCTCACTGGGAAGCTCTCCCCGTGGTCTCACTGCCTCACAGCGATCCTCCTGCCTCAGCCTCCCAGGGCTGGGATGACAGGCGTGTGCCGCCACGTCTGGCTGTAAGTTTGGGCTTTTTCTTTTGTTTCGTGTTTTGCAGTGCTGGGATGGAACCCAGGGCCTCATGCAAGCTAAGCAATCCACTGAGCTTCACCCGCAGTCCCCAGAGAGGAGAATGTGATAGCTCAAGGAGACGGGGCGTAGCGGGCTTCGGGGATCATCTCGTCACCTGTTCGGGTCAGACCCAGGGTCCCTGTGCCCCAAGCAGGTCAGGGGTAAGGACTTAGGAGGGCGCAGAAGAGCCCAGGAGGGATGGCGTGGGAGGGGGGGGCAGGCGCCTTCCCCCTGGCCGAGGTCACGTGCCCAGGGACAGGATCAACATGGCCTCCTCGCCGCGGACGGTGCTGATCTCGGGCTGCTCCTCCGGCCTCGGCCTGGAGCTCGCCGTACAGCTGGCTCGGGACCCCAGGCAGCGCTACCAGGGTAAAGCTCCGAGGGGGGGGAGGGCGGAGCTTCCGGAACCCTCAGCCCAGCCCCCTCTGCTGCCAGCTGTCCTTGCAGGTGGGGAGGACCTAGGACCCCCACGAAAGTGCCCTCCCTCTGAACCTCCCTCTCACCCCGCAAACATTCCTTCAGCAAACACCGGGCGCAGGCTCTCCTCTGGGTGCTGGAGACACAGCTGTGAAGAAAAGAAAGAAAACCCTCAGGGCTGGGGCCCAGCTCAGCGGTCGGTTTCTTGCGGAGCACGAGTGAGGGAGGCTCTGAGAAAAACAAAGATCCCTGAGCCGGCCCTGTGACCCCAGCCCTGGTTAGGCCGAGGCAGGAGGATCACTGCAAGCTCGAGGCCACCCTTGGGGGAGAGTGGGATTTTTAGAAGCGCTGGTGTGGGAAGATTTTTCCGAGGTTTGATGTGGGCATCCGGAAGGTGCAGTAATCGCGTGCGGATGCTCAGGCCGGCCTTCGGGCCCCAGATTACTGCTCCTGATAAGCCTCTTACTGTGCTCTGACCTTGGGCCTTAAGGGACCTCGAGATGCATCCTCAAGCCCTAGAGCAGAAGGCTGCGAACTGCGCCGCGCATGAGAACCTCTGACCCAGAGCAGGCTCGGTGGAAATAGGCAAAGGGCTCTTACTCAACAGGAGGCTGCTAAGGCAAGGAGATTGCCCCAGTTGGCAGGCTAGCTTCTCTAGCCCTCTGCCCTCTATTTTAGAGGCACTCACAGCTGAGCGTGAAAATCTGAACACCAGCATGCAGAGTTGTGTCCCTATGTTTGGGCAGATTGGTTACATAAAACTGCCAAAGTAGGCTGAGGCAGGAGGATTGCCACAGGTTGGAGGCCAGCCTGGACTACGTAGTGAAACCACGTCTCAAAAAAAAACAAAAAACAAACCTAAAAAAAAACAACTGCTAAACAGTAATTTGGATATTTTTTATTGTTTTGCTTTCTTTTTCTGCAGTACTAGATATCGAACCCAGAGCCTTCCCCTACATCCTCAGGCTTTTTTAAAACTCTTAACACTGTGACAGTGCCTTACTAAGTCGCCCAGGTGGGGCTGAAACTTAAGATCTTCCTGCCTCTGCCTCCCAGAGTGGCTAGGACTAGAAGTGTGCACCATCATGCCGGGCTTGGCTCATTTTAGAAATGAGTAACCTGAGGGACAGAGATCCTCACGCCGGGTCACCAGCTGGAAAGTGACAAAGCTGGGATTTAAACTTTGGAAGATGAGAAACTGGGCCCACTCTTTTTACAGTCCTGCCACCCCATAACCTCCCAGTTCACAAACCTAGAGCTCCGCACACGTGTAGGTAGCGTGGACACAGTGAGACTGTGCATAAAAGTAAATATAGGCTCGGTATGGTGGCACATACCTGTCATCACGGCCTTGGGGAGGCTGAGGCAGGAGGATCAGCACAAATTCAAGGCCAGCCTGGGCTACATCATGAGTTCCAAACCAGTTTGAACTGCGTGGGAGATGATGTTTCAAAAAAAATTTTTTTTCTTAATTTAAAAACCATGCAGGGGAAAGGAATCTCATTTCTACCCCAGTTCTGCTTCTGTTCCTAGTGGTGGCCACTATAAGAGACCTGCGCAAAAAGGAGCCCCTGGAGGCAGCTGCAGGGGAGACCCTGGGGAGGACCCTCACGGTGGCCCAGCTGGATGTGTGCGACGAGGCGTCTGTGGCCCAGTGTCTGAGCCACATCAAGGGCGGGGATGTGGATGTGCTGGGTGAGACTGCAGCCCTGGGGTCCCCCATCCCCTTTCAGGTCCCCTGTAGAGCCCCTAGGTGGCAAGGCCTGAGCAGCAGCCCCCTGCCACCTCCGCCCTTAGCTGACAGGTAGACCAGTTGGCCAGAAGACAAAGTAGACCAGTTGGCCGGAGCTAGAAACCACAGCCAACTCACTGGGGGTGGTGGAATTAATGAAAGAGACATCTCTCATACGCAGAAAACCATATGTGGTCGGGAAATTGCCTTGGTGAGTCACTCGGGGGAGAGCAGGATGAAGCAGGGAACCAGACTCCCTAAGCGGCTTCTGAGGAGTGTGGGTGTCGCCGGGTTGATGCAATTTGGAGTCAGACCTGAATTGCTCACGCATTACAGAGGATGCTGCTCCCAGGGACCTGTGCTCCCTCTGGAGTTCAGGGTCCCCTCTAACAAATGCTAAGCTCTGTTAAAGCAGCACCAAGTCTCCACATGTAGCTGGGCGTGGTGGCGCACACCTGTAATTCCAGCACTTGGGAGGCTGAGGCAGGAGGTTCGCCCGTTTGAGGCCTGCCTCTGCTATGTAGTGAGTTCAAGGCCAGCCTGAACTACATAGCAAGACCCTAACTCTAAAGAACAAAAACAAAGACTCCATATGTGTTCCCAAAACAGCCAGGCCGAGAGCGGGGTGATTTGAGAAATGACAGGGGAAAGCCTGGGCGGCCTCCATGGTAACATGAACCACCCCTCTTAGTGAATAACGCCGGTGTGGGCCTGGTGGGGCCTCTGGAAGGACTCAGCATTGCCACCATGCAGAGCGTCTTTGACACCAACTTCTTCGGGGCTGTGCGTCTTGTCAAGGCCGTGCTTCCAGGAATGAAGAGAAGGAGACAGGGCCACATCGTGGTGGTCAGCAGTGTCATGGGGCTGCAGGGTGAGGTCTGGGGACCCACTGTGAGGGGTTCCCCCATCTGACCTTCCCCAGGGTGCCAGGATGGCAAATAGACCCAGATTCCTCTGCCACGAGAGCCTGGAGAGCTCTGTTGAGATGGACTCTGAAGCTCAGAAGGGAAAAGCTCTGGGACAGATTAACTATGCCTGCTGTGGTATAAGTAGGTGGTGGGGGGTCTGTGTGGTATCAACAAACAACTACAAGCCAGAATCAACCTCACTTCTAGACATCCCTGAAACACCGGCCCCACCAAACCCCAAAGAACCATCAGAACTCCTTCTCCTGAAACTCCTCCTTGCCAAACACCCCCTAGACGCAGGCCTCCTGAGATGTCTGAATCTAGGACCTTGAGGCTCAGCGGGAAATAGAGTGGTGACTGATTAGTGATGTCTGATAGCAAGCTATCCTGGGGCCACTATTTGCCATCCGTGCTCCTGGGTCTTTCTTCCTTGACCGCTCCTTCCCCAGAAAACCCCTCTTCCCTGCTGTCAATGCAGGTGTCATGTTCAACGACGTCTACGCAGCCTCCAAGTTTGCCCTGGAGGGGTTCTTCGAGAGCTTGGCCATCCAGTTGCTTCAATTCAACATCTTGTGAGTTGGACACTTGAGCAGGGAAGGGACACAGGGACGGTGACGGGGAAGTCAAGATGGGGGGTCATGCATGCCTATCATCCCCACAGAGGAGGATGAGGCAGGAGGATTCCCCTGCAAAGTCAAGGTCAGTCGAGGCTACCTAGTGAGTTCAACCTCAGCCTCGAATACACCGGGAGAGCCTGTCTTTAAAAAATGGTGGGGAGCCGGGGGCAGAAGGACAATGATGGGGTAAGTTGAGGTAGTGGATTGGGGCACCACTCCTGGCTCTGTCCCCAGCGTCTCCCTGGTGGAGCCAGGCCCGATAGCCACTGACTTTGAGGGGAAGCTCCTGGCTCAGGCATCCACGGCTGAGTTCCCGGGCACCGACCCTGACACCCTGCGCTACTTCCGCGACCTCTACCTCCCCGCCTCCTCCCAGCTCTTCCGCTCCGTGGGGCAGAGCCCACGGGACGTGGCCCAGGTGAGTGACCGGACCCTTGGCTCAGGGACGCTGCAGGCGGGGAGTTTCTGAGGTCCCAGGGCTCAGGGCTCGATCACGCAGGCCATTGTCAAGATCATCGGCGCTACCCGGCCACCCCTGCGCAGGCAGACCAACGCGCGCTACGTCCCGCTGACGGCACTCAAAGCCCTGGACCCCTCCGGCCGCCTGTACGCGCGAATCACCCACCGCCTGCTCTTCCGCTGGCCGCGTCTCCTGCACTTCGGCCTTCGCTGCCTGGCCTGTGGCTGCCTCCCAACCCGCGTGCGGCCACGATGATCCGAGCCTCCCTGGATCCTCCCCAGCCCTGAACAACACTGCGATGGAACCTGGGCCTTCACACGGAGCCACATCCCCAGCTCTTTTTGTATTTTTTATTTTGAGACAACGTCTCGCTAAATCACTACGCGTTGCCCATGCTGGGCTGAAACTTGAGATCCTCCTGCCTCAGCCTCCCAGAGTACTGGAATGACAGGCACGGGCTGCGGCACTGGGCTGGCAGGTGCTCTTTGGTACACACTCAACTCAATGAGCCACAGGGACTCTCGCTCCTTCATTCATAAAGTCAGTCAGCAGCTCATCCATTCATAAAGTCACTCAGCTGACTCTGCTCGCCTGTTCTGTACCAGGCATTGCTGAAATCTCAGCCCCTGTGGTCAGGGCTGCAGCAGACAGGGGCCCTGAGCAGGAAGCCAGAGCAGGCAGACTTCCTGGAGAAAGGGGCATTGTTGCGAATCTCAAAGGACAAGATAGATTTTACTTCATCCAGCTGCAGGATCCCAGGACCTGGAATGGGAATACAGGTATGATCAGCCCATGTCACCCCAGAGCTGAGTACACCAAGGGGTCCAGGGTTTCCTGGTCACACACCCTGTGGCAAGATGTGCTACGCACACACCAGCAACGCATAGCTCTTTTCCCAGGGAAGTAGTTACAATAAATATTTAATAGAACTAAATTTCTTCTCCTTCCTCTGCGTTCCCGTGTATGGTTCTGGGGCTGGAACCTAGGGCCTTCACACTGAGCTCCGTCCCCAGCCGGTTTTAAATTTTGTGTGTGGAGACAGGGTCTCACTGAGTTACCAAGTTGTCCAGGCTGGACTCAAATTTGCCATCCTCCTGCCTCAGCGTCTTGGAATGCCAGGATGACAGCCGTGCGCCACCACACCCAGTTTACCAATATAATTATTTAAATACTATTTCTGACCTGCAGTTGGTTGAATCTGTGGACACAAGGCCCCTGGGTGCAGAGCGTTGACGCTACAGGAAATTAGATTACTGGCAATG